TGTTTAACCCCTTGCTTCTAAGTTTGTGATTCATGTTTTATTGCAATTGAAAAATGGTTCATTTAAACCAGGGTTGGGGAACCCTTTTTGGGTGTGGGCCACTGAGCCCAGAAAAATCAGTTGGGGACTGCACACAAATGAGAAACAACCCCCCCCCCCCAGGGTGGGCTCCCCAATTCTGGGGGAGCCCCGAGCCTCAGGGGCCAGATCTAGGCAAGCTGGGGGCTGCATCCGGCCCCAGACCTTAGGTTCCCCACCCTTGATTTAAACATTGCACATTCCAAATTCTAAGCGTGCCTCACACCCCGCCCCTAGCACAGAGATGCTCTTCGCTCACTTACCAGGAGAAATCTCACTCCCCTGGTGGTCAGAGCTCAAGACTAGTTTTGCTGACGACAAACGATTACGGATCCAACCGGAGCACTGAGACAGGCTGTTTCTTTAATGCTTCAGTCATGAGTTTGAATCGATGGTAGGGTCTGGGTTGTTTGTTGGCTGTTTTTTTTTTTTTTTTTTTTTTTAAAGAGTCAGGGTTAGACCTGTCACACCTCAAAGCCAAAAGAATTCAGCTGGTGGCTCCAATTTCAGAGGAGTTGAACTTTGGTGTCCAAAAGCTTTTTATTTCCAGTCCAGTGCAGTTGGCAGCCATCTGTGAGGGCCATTGAAAGCAGTCTCTGTCGGGAAAGTGCGGGGTTTTGAGTGTGGTCCGCACATGGAGGCCTCTGCCCATCAATGACAGAACATATTGGCTACTCTCTCTGTCGTCTTTCACTGTCACAGGCAGCAGATTTTCCTGGCAATCTGTTATGGACTATTTCTCACAGCAAAGGAGAGCTGGCCCACACCCAGACATTTAGCTCCATGCTCTCCCTGGAATTCCTTTCCCCACCCTTGCTGATTACCAAGGTAGCAGGGGCTACCTGGGGGCAGCTGAGTACTCCTACAGGGCAGTGAATCAGGACAGCTGACAAGGAGAAACCACTTTGCACTCACACATGCTGTCCATCAAGGGATCATCACTCTGTGAGAAAGGCAAACATTACTAACCTGCCTTTGAGGAAACTGAGGCACAGAGTAGTGGTGTGACCTTGGGCAAGTCACTTAGCCAGTGAGTGACAGAGCCCACAGGAGCCTGGTGTGTCAAGACCCAACAGGCCTCCCCGTACGGAAAAGGAACGCTATCGAAGGGATGTTTTCTGCCTCCCTGCCCAGGGCAATCAGTCATGATGGGAAAGGAAATGGCAGAGGACACAGGCCATATGCAGGCCCTGGTGGGTTCTCCTGAACATGCTCAGACACCCTTCCTCACTTGTGAGCTGGCAAAAAAGCTCACTGCATAGAAAATAAACAGCAGGGCCCAGAGTCCTGTCAAAAGTGCTAGCAGTTCATTTTCTGCGGCGTCGGATGTCGACTCGCTGTTCTCAGACTGCCCCTGTGGGCGACGGGGAACCTCGGCAGAACACCGCTGGTCTAACGCAAAGAAATGCAAGAGTACATGGACGCAACACATGCATGGTGCCGTATTTTACAGTATATATCGGGCTGCATTCACACAAGCCTAACATCACAGACCTGAGAGGAAAGAGCCGTGTGTACGCAGCACCCATGCAATACCGCATGCAGATGCAGTCTGGGGCAGCCTCCTTCCAGGTGACAACGACAAACTGAAGGGATCAAGAGAGGAAGTCCAGTGCAGGATGTGTCCAGAGGGCTGCTGACCTAACGGAGACCACTGGAAGAGCAAGAGGCCAGGAAGAGGGTGGCAGGGAACGGCCATAATGCAAGTACTTGACAGACAGAAGCTCTGCAGCAGAACCACCAAGTCAAGAGAAGGCAGGGATGGCAGGAGTTTACCACAGGGAAAGCTGAAGGTGGAAGTCAGGACAAGTGTCCTAGGGCTTGTCTACACTGGCATGTAAACTTTGTCTTGGTGACAAAAAACTTCCAGCCCTGCCAGACTTTTGTCTTTTCCTCTCCCTTTACTGTCTACAAACAGCCAGTGTGGTCTCTGCTGTTTGTTTTGTCCAGAGTACTAGTTTCCACCAGGATCCCACAATGCCTGCACTGATGCCTCTGCTCAGTATTCTGTGATCTCTGCTGCCCTGCAGGCCTGCGCCCTTCCCCTTTCTAAGCTCTGGGAAGTGTCTGACAGCTGCGTGAGATTCTCCGTTTGGGGAACAAACGAAGAGCAAATCATTGGAATGCTCCTGTTCTGCCCGGCTAGGAACCCAGCAGCAGACAGACTGCTGCTGCAGGGGGAAGGCTGGAGAGATGGTGGTACTGCTTTGACATTCCTCAGCCCGGAGAGCTCTCAGGGAATCCCAAGAAGCACAGGGATCAGCTCTGCCAACCCACAGCTCTGCCCTGTGGGAAGCTCACCCACAATGCTTTGCTCTATCTGACCACAGGGTGCTAGCAATGTGGCCATGAAATATCAAAAATGGGAGGCAGAAAAACTGGTTTGAACATTTTTCACTTTTGGTGACTTTTGTGTCTCGACAGCACTTTGGTTGCCAAACCTGCCCTGTGTAGACACAGCCCCCTTCATGTGGATTTGGATT